TTAATTCATTATTAATTTATATTTATACTTGTAACTTGATAATACACTTTAGTTGGTTGTGCTTTTTATTTTCAAAGAGGTTGAAAAATAAAAATTTTGCAAAATGCATTTGTATAATCGTATCATATTATATAAATTTTGTAAAACGATAAATACGTGCATGATTTGGGAGACACAGCAAAATTTTCTTGCACCGTCACTATGCAGTTTACAGTACTAATAATAACATTTTGTATAAAATTTTAGCAACGGATTCAATTAAGTTTTCTTCTGCAGTCAGCATCTGTTGAATTTTGCTTAGTAAAACACTTGTACATAAACATTTGTTTAGTATTAAAAGTTTAAAATATTTGTCTTAATAGTGCTAAGATCATTTTATAATTTTCTTGGATATTCTACAAGTTAATTTAATTGTAAAACAGACATCATGGAATCATGTAAGTATAATGATCAGTTTTCATAATTGAAAATTGCTCTACTCGTAATTGTTACACATATTTATTGCATGCGTTTATTGAGACTTTTCGTAACTGGTGTTCTAAGACCCGCGATTAAAACTAATATTATGTGTAAGTGAAATAGTTCTGTTTAAATATTTTAAACTATTTTTGAACGATTGTTTCTGACATTTCATTGACATTTTTATTAACAAAGTATGTTCCAAACTTAGCTCTGAACAAAGAATTATTGGAGAAGTTTAAGAAGGCATTTTATGTTGATGAGAAAAACATATTGTCTCAAAATGTCTGTTCTCGCCAAGACCCCTTTGAAGTCTCATTATCCAGGAAGAAACTGGAAGAAACTCAAAATATTTTTAACCATAAGGTAAACTTTGTAAAGGATTTTTATTGTTTTTTGTAATTTAATTAATAAATGATTTTGTAAAGATTGAATCTGAAGCAAAGCCCATTACACACCAAAAGAATTCTGGACGCTGTTGGCTTTTTGCTGCATTAAATGTAATGAGACTTCCTTTCATGAAGCAACTGAACATTGAAGACTTTGAATTCTCTCAAGCTTATCTATTTTTCTGGGATAAAATTGAGAGATGTAACTTCTTTTTGCATACTATCGTAGAAGCTGCTAAACGAAATGAATCAGTAGATGGCAGATTGATTTCTTTCTTATTGCAAGTATGTATACATAATGATTTATTTCTGGTTTGTTCAAATATTTAAAATGTTTATAATTTGTAGGTACCAGCCAATGATGGTGGTCAATGGGATATGCTAGTCAATCTCATACAAAAACATGGTATTATGCCTAAAAAGTGCTTTCCAGAATCTTTTAGTTGTGAATCTAGTGGAAGATTGAACCAATTATTAAAAAGCAAGGTAAATTTTTAATAATAGGTTTTCTTGTTGTCATTTTCTATGTGAAATTGGTATTTTTGTTACACTACAAGCCCAAAAATAAGGGAATCCTAAATGATACCTCTTGTCAACATTGGTTAACTCTGTATCTATTTCGGTTTTTTGGAAATTGAATTTTGAAGAATACCTCCTTAGTCTTTGCTTATTTCTCCAAATTCTGTATTTTTGGCACTAATGGTTTGTGTAACCTTAGAATTACATTACATAAAAATACATAAAAGATCATCTGGAATACTTATGTACTGGAAATATGAGAGTAAAAAAATTATTTATAACAAGCTGAATAAGGCATTGTTAAATGTAAATATTGAACTTTGAGATAAGAGAAATGTGATATTCTGCTTGGGTTCTTTGTTCTATAAATTGTAATAAATGTCCCCCTGTTTCTTAATACTTCATGATTATGATTACTTCATGAGTATTCTGTTACTTCATTCAGTTCTTGGTTCTATTATTTATTGCAATAACATTGTAATTTATATCAGCATTTCTTTTAATTATAATCATCACTTTCAGATTTTTTATCGTAATGATACTAACTCTGTTCCTATTCTAGTAATTGCTGATTCAGTTGATTTAGCACACTTATCTACTATAATAAGAATGAAGGCATAAAAGATAAGTCTTATCACAGAAATACTAAAAAATAAAATTTTCTTTAAATATTTCTTTATATTTTACAAAAGGAGAAATAGTATCTGCTCACTAATCCAAACATTATCGGAGGAGTTTATTAGATATCGATTTATCGTTATGATCTATCAACTAACAAGAAGGAATTTAAAAATTTAAAAAAGTCGCCTATTTTGGAAAATAATTTTAGAAATACGTAGTTTATTTAGGAATTTTCTGACTACTTGATTTCCCCCTACCTATATTTAAAATATTTTATTTGTTGATCATTTTTTTTTTCTTTCTTTTTTGTTTCTACTTTAGAGTATTTGAAATTGAGTAATAGTATTTTAATAAGAACATTTATTATTTAATAAATTAAACAATTGTTTTAGTTGCGTGAATATGCAAAGGAACTTTATGGACTGGTTACCAATGGAATCAATGAAGCTGATGTTCAAAATACGATCGAAAAGCAGATGCTTGTCATTTATCGTATAGTTGGCATTTGCTTAGGAATTCCGAATGAAACGTTCACTTGGACTTACTATGATAAAAATAAGAACTTCCATTGCATCGGCCCTATTACTCCCAAAGAGTTTTACGAGAACCACGTCAAGCCTGTTTTCAACGTTGAAAGCAAAGTATAAATTTTGATAAGATGTTAACTTTTTCATTTGATTATTTACGTTTTGTTTGCGGAACTATTATTTTTTCTTGTTGCATGGATATATATGTGCTGAATACAGAGTGTTTTTAAATTTAATGTTAGCTGAACTTAATTTTATACCAATTCGGTTTTAATTTTAACGATTTCAAGGAACAGTTTTGAATGTAAAATTTGTTGAAGTAGCTTTAAAAAATATGTATTTGTAGATTTGTTTGGTAACTGATCCTAGACCCACTAACCAATATGGTAGGGTGTATACCATTGATTGTTTAGGAAATGTTTTGGGGGGCAGGAAGTGCATTTATAACAATCAGCCTGTTGAAACTTTAATGGAACTAGTAACAAAGAGCATAAAGGAAAATGAAGCAGTGTGGTTCGGATGTGAAGTATCTAAGAGATTTGCCAGCAAGCAGGGGATACAAGATCTTGCAATGTAAGATGATTTTTTGGAACTTTAATTTTTGAATGAATAATTAAGTTTTAGAACTGTACCTGGAGAACTGATTTACAATGGCTATTGCCTTATGTATTTAATAGGTGGGTTCGTTTGCCTTTTCTACTACTATTTGCCCATAATCGACTGCGCATGCGTTCTTGTTGTGCACAACCGATTTTTGAAAGATGCGTGAATCGTACTGAATAAAGCAAACGAACACCCTAATTAAAACACAAGCATTATTATATTAAATTAATAAGGCGTGTTTTCTTTTTGTAGTCATGACTTCAAATTAGTTTTTGGCACAGACATTCAAATAACAATGTCCAAAGCAGATAGATTGCTATATGGAGAGAGTGCCATGTCGCATGCGATGGTATTTACCGCTGTTTACGAAGACGTAAGTTTTTAATAAAAAACGTTCTACAGTCATATTAACTTCTCATATTTTCAGAACAACGGTGACGTGAAAAAATTCCGCGTAGAAAATTCGTGGGGTGAAGATCGCGGTGACAAAGGCTATTTAATAATGACCGACGATTGGTTCAAAGAATTCGTCTTTGAAGTAGTAATCGATAAGAAGTTTGTACCTCAATCAATTTTAGATGTATTCAAGCAAGAGCCGATAGTGTTACCGGCATGGGACCCTATGGGTACTCTTGCTTCGGCTAAATAGACATTTTTTCGTATGAAACGAACACAAATTAGAAAAAAAAAACGTAACCGATATTCAGTTTATATAATCTATATATTGATATATTAATTTTTTTAATTTAAATTGTATTTTTCTAATCGTAAGTTTATTGTATTTTTTTATGTATAAATAATTATATCCAGTTCTTAATATTGAGTTTACAGAAAAATATAAATTAATTGAGAATTTTAATACTTTGTTTCGCATTATCGTGTAGTAGTTAAACTTGAGGTTCTGCCCAATTCATTGAAGCACCTTTTGTGGAGATTAGTTTGTAATGTAAGGGCGTGTATTAGAACTATAGCCACTATCTCTCTCAGGAATTAAGGGAGGGTTACATTAAATATTCTCTATGTATTTAGCAAAAAGTAAAATTAAAAAAAATGTACTTTCACTTCAAATATGTTTGAGATTAATCAGTACAATTTTTATAAAACATTTTTTAATGTAATATAAGCAAAATTATAAATAATAATACTATGTAAACTTCACCTAGGATTTATTCTTCAATTCTAACAAAGAACTATAAGAGCACTAAGTGTGAGTTTTTTTTAATAAATTTCTTAGTAATTTTTTCGTTGTTCCGTGCTTTATTCTAATAATTTGCAATATTTAGGATGACTCATAGTATAAGTATATATACCTATTTTGGGTAGTTAAACTTGGTCATGTTGTTGTCCTCATTATTATGGATGTTTCACATCGCACGAATGAAGGTACTGAGGTACCTGAGGATTGTGAAGTATATTTTTCTTAGTTGCATAAAAATTTATATAATCTAAAGGAATAAAATTGATGCCCAATTTCGCTCAATATGAAATATAACTATATATACTGATAACAGGAAAATACAAAAAAAGGCAAAGTTTAACTGCAAAGATAACTATTGGAGTTTTCTTAAATGTTAAGAATTATTATGATAAGTATAAGTAACAATAAAAAAAGTTTGTAAGAATACAATTGTGTAATTTAAAAAACTTTAATGAGAAATTGGTTTAAAAACACAGTTACATATTATGTATAAGACATTATGTGCACTTGTAAATTTCGAAATTACTGGGTCATTTTTAAAGAGAATTCAGAATCGCTATTAAATCTTTTTCTGCATACTTTCTATGCAATCACAATTTTTGTATTTTTAATTTAATGCCTTGAGGAAAGAACTGTTACATGTACCACTTGTACCCATTACTTTTTAAGGAACTGAGCTAATTTTGTTCTAGTGCAACTCTTAATTTTTTCCTTAATATCTTAAACCACAGCCCTTCTTGGTTTACTTAAATTAAGATTCATTGGCAAAACGCTGTTCATTTGATATTAATTTTAATGTTTTCAATTTTTTTTACTTTATTTCGAATTTTATGTTCGTATTGTAGCTTGCACCATATTCCTTTACACATTTTTATAAGTCTAGTATCCACAACAGGTGCATATTTTGCCCTAAGATACTCACGATAAACAATGTGCTTTGCTAACTTAAACCTTCTCTGTTGAATGAGACTTAAACTAAGAAATAGTAAGCACCTAGAAACAATACTTTCGTCCCCTAATCTTAAAGCTAATTTGAATTGATTAACTGAAATTTTCCCTGCTATTTGGGCACAATTTACATAGTAGTCTCCTAAGGCAGAAAAGGCACCTCCTAAAGTTGATAACCACGAAAATGTATTTTCCAATTCACATCGTTCTCGTATCAAATATTCCATTCTGTAATTCCTAAAATAGTACTTGTTAGAATATTACTAAATCTGAAGACAGAAATAACTTACCATTCGTAATCTATTATTTCTTTTGGAGGAGGAATTAAGTCAAATTTGATTGAGTTGATGTAATTTGGTGCATGTTGTCTGAAGTGTTTCATAAAATGTATTTTGTACCTGTTGCTAACTTTAAGTTCTCTTATAAAATAATGCAAAAATATACCATTAACTTGCAATTTTACTTTAAGCTGGGAAGGTGTTTGCATTTGGTTTATTCGCAGATAATGACGGTCATATTCTAGTATAAATAATTTACTAACCACGTATTTTCCGTAGGAACTTCTATTTGAACGAATTTTTAAAAAAATCTCATCCATTGCGACTTGCAGGTTAGGCCGCAAAATGGTTATGTAAATGATGATGATTTTAAACTAATTAAACTTTTCTTAATTAGTTTTGTCGTATTGTAATGTTATAATCATTAGATATTTTTCTATTTTAACAACTGTTTCAATAAATAATTCAAATTTAAAAATTTTAAATTGACGGATAAAAGTAAGGTTACTTTGAAATGCATAGCTCATAGATAGTCCGTACAGCTCATAGATCCTGTACAGTGGACCAGAAAATTAGTACACGGAATTAATAAATGCTTGATAAATGTTGGTTATGAAAATGATAAATTTTCCAATAACATTTAAACAAAATAAAAGTTTAGTTTAACTGTAAATGCAATAAACTTTATGAACTACGTATGGGTACTTGTTGGATGAAATTTGATTTTTTCAAAGTTGTTGCTAACACATTGATTGATCAATATAAACATGTTATAAATTTCAATTTTGATAGATTAATCAACACTATATATTTATACACTTTAATTTTTGCTACATTTATTCAAAATGTCTCATCTAACGAAGAAAAAATTAATGGCTGAAATGGAAAAATACGTTTTTCCTAATATACCACCGGAGAAAGCTGTTGGCGATATTCTTACTATAAAACGTCAACAAAAAGATATAAAGTATGTTATTTTATTAATGAAGACAATTAGGAAAAAAGTTTTTTATAAGATTTTTTTTACAGGAAGTTCACTGATTGGGATATTCCTCGTCCAGATCCAGCATGTGAATTGGTGGCTGCAAAAAGGGAATTATATCATGCAGAAAAAGAATTAGAAGAAAAACGAAGTCAAGTAAAAAAGTTGAGAGAAACAATGGACTCAAAGTGGAAAGATTTAACAGAACAAGAACAAAGTCTTAGGGAAAATTTCATTAAATTCAATAAGGTTTTTGATTACCAATATATATTTCAGACTATTGATTAAAAACACAATATTCTTTAAAGTTCATCAAAGAAAATTATGAAAAAAAAATTAGAGCCGAACGTAAAATGACCGAGGAGCAGGCACTTCAAAGACTTCGATCAGAAAATATTGTTTCATTGCAAAAACAGATTGATGAATTGAAGGAAGTCAAAAATAATATGGAAGAAGAAATTAAAAAGCACGCGATTTATGAAGTAAGGCATTTTAATTTTAATTGGGGTATTAAATTTGGGACAGAACGGCTAAAACATTTAATTGTACAATAAAATTCTTTATGTGTGTAGTAAAAAGCAATCAAAATAATTACATGCAACTGGGAAAACCAATGAATTCTATTTTTAATATGGAAAACTCTAATGGCGGCAACATTGTAATTGTTTTCCTTATTGTTGTATCGCATGCTCTTTTGTTTTGGTTTGATTAGTCATCATGACAAAACAAATTGAATGACCTTTCATTTTTTAGCAATTCTTGCGAAAAGTCGTTTTAGAATCAGCCGTTTTCAAAACTGACAACGACATCATAATCAGATATGAATCGCTCCTTGAAGCCAAGGAAGAACTAGCCCTTAAGCAAGAACAAGAGCTGGATATCCTGGAGAATGCCAGAAACGAAATGGTAAGTGAAATGATACAAACAATCGTATAACAAATGAACAGTACCCATAAGTACTTGCTTCCTAACAACAACAATTACGTCTCAAATTAATCTAAAAATTTCAAATTTCATCTATGTAACAATTTGTGTATTACTTATTCATACTTCAGTAGAGAATTTTTATCTTTTGGATTAAATTAAATTTATTAGTTAGATGATGATATCGTTTTGCTAATTATTTGATGATCAACATTTGAGTTGAAAGCTTAAGAAAAATTCAAAGGTTTTTCTGGAAAATTTTCTATAAGCGCCATCTGTAGCTGTAACATTACAATTAAGATGCTTGGTAGCTTTGATAGATGGCGTCATAATGTAGTTTTTCAAAATTAATGAAATTACAAATACATATTACGAAAGAGAAAATTCACTGGAAAAAAATGTTGTAGATGAAAATAGTTGACGATAAAAAGCAACAAATTTTGGGCATGACCAATCAACTTACCCATTTGCAATCGCGATATGAAATTGCGAGACTGAAAACAGTCGAATGGGAAGTTGTGATTGCTCGAATCAAAAATAGGTGCCTTGATAAAAACAAAAAAATACACCAAATCCGGGAAGCTTGCTGGAACATTTATCTTAACATGTGTTCCCGAAAAGAAATCGAACCGGAATTTAAGAAAGACGATATTGAAAATCAGTTAATGTTTATCAAAAGAACGCTATCAGAATTGAAAAAGATAGTTAACATAGCAAAGAAAAGGGCAACTAAAGAGATGAATACTGGCAAACCTGATACGTCGGATGCAAAAAATAAATAAAAATAAAAACGATAGATAATATATTGTATTAAGCGAAATGTTATCTAATGCGTTTAATTAAATTTTGCTTATTGAATGGTTAGGTAGTTGTTATTTTAATAAATGCTTTTACGACTTCACAACCCATTTATTTATTACGAACTTATTTGTTTAAAAGATGAGTAAGAAGGCTTTGGAAGTGACAATGTGTATGTTTTATTAGCCTTCTTGTAACTTGTGGTCTGTATTGCAATTGATCCATTTGCAGCAGCTTTTGTTTCTTCTTTTTGTGAAAAAAAAAAATGACTTGCAGTAGTATTTGTTTTCATTTGGTTTTCAACCAGAGGCTTTCCAGGTTCGTGTTTTTTCTTTCGTTAATTGTAGTCTTTTAATGATTGTTTAAGAAATGTTTGACATTTATTTTCGACAATGTGGTGGCAGTTAGTAAAAATAACATTTTTATTAATCCATGTCTTTGTTCTTTTGTTAATAAAAATGGTTAATGTAAATACGAAGGAGACCAGACTAAACTGAAAACTGTTTATTAATATTAATATCTATTAGGTAGTACACGTTTATTTGTGGAATGTTGTGAAGTAAATAGGTATCTATTTTTTTTGTATTTTTGCAAAATCTACAGTTCACGTGGTGAATTAGTGTTCGAGAATGGAATTCTTTCTTTTTTCAACATGTTAAGTGCCGCTCTAGCTTTTCTTTCCATCTGAAAAAATAGACAATAAGGTTATAAATAGTCATGTAATTATTAAAATAATTATTTATTTAAATTATATAAAATTGCCGAAATAATGTATAATAGCAGTGGTAAATAATTTATTAGGACTCATTTGATAATATTTTGACGTATTATTAGCTTTAAAAATGTGTTTTCGTAACAAAATCGTGAAATAACAGACATAAATGTAAAGACGGCTTTGGAAGTGACGTGTATTCTAACCTTCCATTTACTTGTGCTGTTCATTGCAAATGGTCGACTTGCGGCTACTCCGCGTAAATATTGTGTTTTGTAATAAAAAAGTGACTGCTGTCTAAAAGCTTTTGTTATTTTTCATTTCTTTAGAGGTTTCCACGTCTGAGGTGAGTGTTTTTTCTTTTTTTAACGCTGATTAATAAACGTATTAATCATTTTCAAGTGTGATACCTTCTCAACAATTAGGTGGTATTATGACATTTATAAAAATTGCAAATAGGATACTGTTTTGCTGAACGGTCATGTTTTTGGTTTATATGTATGTCTGTATGAATGCGGAAATAAGCATTGTCGGAGATAATAATTAATGTTTAGAGTCTTTTAGTAGGTACATTTTGATTTAATACCTATTAGAAAATGTACCTACTGTTTAATTAAATTGTATATGTTATTTATCAAATGATAACGTATTGTAGTTATTTGTATGATATACAAGGTGTTCCGAAAAATATCAGGATTTTATGCAAAATTTTAAAGTACATTTCAATAATTAAGTAGATGATTGACAATTAAAAAAAGTTCCCATATTAAGTAGTTGTTTACGACGATTCGTTTGTTTGCAACGATCATGGCACTCTTTGGTTAGTTAAATAATTCAATATTTAATTGTTAATTCCTGTATTACTAATTGCTTTACTATACTTGTTACAATATTTTCCAATATGTGTCAAAAACACGAAAGGTAAGGTCAAGTAGGGTAGGGTAGCAGAAAGGTCACAGCTTTTTGAATTTGGAGAATTTCTAAAAAGCTTATAGATAGGTACAAGGTTTTATAAGAAACTGTGTCAAAAACAGGTAGGGAAAGTCAGGTAGAGTAGGGAAGGAAAGGTCCAAGCTTTTTGAATTTGGAGAAGTTCTAGAGAGTTTATAGATAGGTACAAGGTTTTGTCAAAAACAGGAAAATAAAGTTAGGTATGGTAGGGCAGGAAAGGTCAGAGACTTTTGAACATGAACAGTTTCTAGAAGGCTTATAGATAGGTACAAGGTTTTTCTAGAAATTGTGTCAAAAACAGGAAGGTATATTCAGGTGTTGTAGGGCAGGAAAGGCCAGAGACATTTGAATTTGGAGAATTTCTAAATGGTTTATAGATAGGTACAAGGTTTTTCAAGAAACTGTGTCAAAAACAGGCAGGGAAAATCAGGTAGAGTAGTTCTAGAAAACTTATATAGAGGTACAACGTTTTGTTAAAATAGGAAAGTAATGTTAGGTATCGTAGGGCAGGAAAGGTCGGTGACTTATGAACTTGTACAATTTCTAGAAATCTTATAGATAGTTACAAGGTTTTCGAAGATATTGTGTTAAAAAACAAGAAGGGAAAGAAAAGTTAGGTACGGTAGGACAGGAAAACACAGAGACTTTTGAATTTGCCGAATTTCTGGAAAGCTTACAGACACGTACAAGGTTTTTCGAGAAATTGTGTTAAAAACGGAAAGGGAAAGTAGGGTAGGGTAGAAGAAAGATCAGAACTTTTTGAATTTTGGAGAAGTTCTAGAAAGCTTGCAGACAGGTACAAGGTTTTCTAAGCAATTGTGCCAAAAACAGGAAGGTATAGTCAGATATGGTAGGGCAACCGAGCGGCATGGCCTAGAGGTCTAGACCATTGCTTTGCATTCGGGAGGACGCCGGTTCGATTCCGGGTCCGTCTGCCTTGGTCCAAGTTTTTCTGTGGTTTCCTTGGATCACTTAGGCAAATGCTGAGGCAGTAATATTCCACAGATAATCTTTCANTTTTATATATTTTTTAACTCCGCCTGCAGTGGGACTCTTTCTCACTGTTGCCGGTCCCAAGCCCGGATAAAGGAGGAGGGTTTTTGAGATGGGCTAGCAACCCATCCAATATAAAAAAAAGACTACTGAATATCAGTGAGTGTAAGTACGAATTTCCAGTTGACTATTTTCTTTTTTCATTAAGTTTGATTGAATATAATTTAAATTACGTTCTTTCTCTATTTTTTTCAGATGGTTTTAGTGTGAATGACAAGAGAATGTAAAGTTAAAATATTCCCAAGATTTTTTGGGTTAACAAGAAAGAGAATGGAAGGGGCAGGAAAGGCCAGAGACATTTGAATTTGGGAAATTTCTAAAAGGTTATAGATAGGTACAAGGTTTTCGAAGAAATTGTGGTAAAAAACAAGAAGGGGAAGTCAGGTAGAGTAGAGTAGGAAAGGTCAGAGCTTTTTGAATTTGAAGAAGTTCTAGAAAGCTTATAGATAGATACAAGTTTTTGTTAAAAACAGGAAAGAAAAGTTAGGTATGGTAGGACAGGAAAACACAGAGACTTTTGAATTTGGAGAATTTCTAGAAAGCTTATAGATAGGTACAAGGTTTTGTCAAAAACAGGAAAAATAAAGTTGGGTATGGCAGGGAAGGAAAAGTCAGAGCCTTTTGAATTTAGCGAATTTCTAGAAATCTTATAAATACGAGGGTGGATTGATAAGTTTCCGGCCTAACCAAGAGATGACGCCACTAGGCCTACCTTGAGGTGACATTCTATAGTACCATCCTTGGATAGCTTGTAGCTATAGTTTCAGCCCGATCTCCTTGCTANGTAGGGTAGGAGAAAGGTCAGAACTTTTTGAATTTGGAGAATTTCTAAATGGTTTATAAATAGGTACCAGGGTTTCCAAGAAATTATGTCAAAAACAGGAAGGTAAAGTCAGGTAGAGTAAGGCAAAAGAAATAAGAAATTTCTGAATATGGAGAATATGTAGAAAGTTTGTCAAAAACAGGAATGTAATAACACAAGGATAGTATAGGAAAGGTCGTCCGAGCTTCAGGGCAGGTTAAAGTACGCACGGTACGGTACAATGTGATGTGGGTTAAAATTGGAGAATTTGAATGCAGTTTTTACTATTGTGGTTGAAGGTCAGAGAAATTTTTTAAGAAGTCTTGCGGGAAATATGAAACTATTTCATAGGTAATCTCGAGACTACTACGGCGTGCTGATGAGATCAAACGATAGCTTCCGTAGACTACTTATCTTTATGCGGGTTCCTTAAGAATAAGTCTCTGTAGGTACCGTTATTTATAGGTTTATAAATTCGCTATTTAAAGTATTTTGAATTTCTTACCATTGTTTCTTTGTAAACCAAAATTCTAGTAAGTTCGGCGACCCTTTTGTCCAACAGTCCCACAAAGAGCATAACGTTGCAATCGTCTATGGTGTTATTTTCTCCTGAAATTAAAAAAAAATCGGATTACGTGCGTCGCGTCGGTTAAACCACAAACGTTGCTTACCGAGAAGATTTAGAATAGGAGCAATATCGCATTTGAGAAAATCGAACAATTCTTTTACGCCGTTTAGTAACGCTTTCAATTCTTCTTCGGCTTCGTTGACTCTGTTCTCTTCGTCATTTGCCTACAAAATGCAAACAAGTGGCAAAAATTACAAAAATCGCTTTATTGGCTACAACGAAAAAAAAAAAACAAAAGACAAATTAATGGAATCTGTTTCTTCTTTTTTTTTATTGGGCGTCGTATTCTGTGATGGTTGCTTGACATTCCACTAGAGATGTGCAAAATGGTTTTTTAAAAGTATTTAAATACAAAATGCAAATACTTTTTTGATTTGTTATTTCAATTGCAAAATACAAAATACGTATTTTCAAAATACTTTTTTCAAATAAATACTTTTTTGTAGTACCTATTTAATTTTCTATACATTTACTTAAGTATAAAATATTTTTTAAGAAAACCTTGCAGGTATTTTCTCATTTTTTAAATACCTATTGGGGTTTTTCTGGACGAATAGTGGCGTTTACACGATACCACCAGCTGGGAAGATTGAGTATGATTCATATTTTTCTCTTTGAAGTGATTGAGATATAGTTTTTCTATCTTTATGTCGTAGTTTCTTCAGTTCAACAACAAATAATTCTTCTATACGCTTCCTTATTGACCTTTGTCACCAGTTTTAATTGGAAAAAAGACACTGATGCCGAAATAGTATGTTTACCGTGAAAGATCAGAGCCAAAATAGGGTTGCAAATTATTTTATTGATCATCATTTTATATTAAAACATTTACAACCCCATTTTGTTTTCTAACTTTTACACATTGTAATAAGACAAATTAATGGAATCTATTTATTCTTCTTCTGTTTTTTTTTTGTTTTTGTGTGTGGAAACTAAAACACGGTGTCGACACATTGAAAAAGATGAAAGCCAATAGGACTTAAGTTTTTTATTTTTTATGCCCTTTTTGTTTTAAGTAATTGCGTATCCAAAATTTTTTATATTTAAAAGAAGGAAAAAATAGTAGATAATAAAAAATACCCTTGTTTATAATTGACGATATATTGGCGAAAGATTTTTCAAAATTTATTTATTTTGATATTTTTTTTGTAAATTTTATATATTTTTTAACTCCGCCTGCAGTGGGACTCTTTCTCACTGTTGCCGGTCCCAAGCCCGGATAAAGGAGGAGGGTTTTTGAGATGGGCTAGCAACCCATCCAATATAAAAAAAAGACTACTGAATATCAGTGAGTGTAAGTACGAATTTCCAGTTGACTATTTTCTTTTTTCATTAAGTTTGATTGAATATAATTTAAATTACGTTCTTTCTCTATTTTTTTCAGATGGTTTTAGTGTGAATGACAAGAGAATGTAAAGTTAAAATATTCCCAAGATTTTTTGGGTTAACAAGAAAGAGAATGGAAGCAAGGACTAAAAATAAAAATAAGGATTAAAGGTAAGGGAAATAATAGATAGTTTTTTACTAAAATATACGAAACAGAAAAAGGCCATGAAGTAATGGTCTTTTATTTAAAAAAAAAAGGAAAAAAATTGATTGCGCTATAAGCAAATAAATAAATAAATTACCAACTGATATTTTTATGTATGCATTCGGTGCTTTGGCATCCTCTTTAGGGTTTATTTACTTTTAAAAATAGACCCGTTTTAGGTAATAAGTCGATTGATTTTATTTAAATAAATACTTAACAATTGATTAATTAATCAAATAATAAACAACTTATGTTTTATTACTTTTTGCGAAATGGGTAATTAGGGCGTGAAAACATCGAAATTGTTTCGTTTATTTAGAAAATATTTTTAAATATAGATTAAGAGTACCTACGGAGTTCTTTTGATTGAAGTGAAACTTTTACGCACGGTAGGGTAAGTTCGTTTCATGGGAGTTGTTATGTAACGAAATCATGCAACGGATGCCCCCCCTCTACTCGGCCATGTAGTCGAGTTCGTAGTGGGGATCGCTTGAGCCGTGAGCGCGCTCCAATGCAACGTTCGTTACAGGCAATTATCGCATGTATAGTGTAAAATTTAAATTCATAGTATACAAATAATACCTTTAAATCAATTCCTTAACCCCTATCCTGGTATGTTTGTGTGTTTGAAGAAGTTTCACTTCAGTAGCGTGTTGTATAATTACCTACACATTGTATTTTTTGAAGTGAAACTTCTTTACGCACGGTAAGGTAAGTTCGTTTCATGCGAGTTGCTATGTAACGAAATCATGCAACGCATTTCCGCCGCTGTCTGTCCCTATGTATGCTCAGATCTTTAAAACTACGCAACGGATTTTAATGCGGTTTTTTTTAATCGAAAGAGTTATTCAAGAGGAAGGTTTATTTGTATAATACATGCATAATATAGTAGAGAAACACTGATAATTTTAGAGGTTTCTAATGTNATCAATAGGGTAGGTTAGGTTAGGTTATCGGGTTTTGTTCAAGTGACCACCCTCTCTCGATCCCCCACCTCCACCCGTTTGAAAATATTTTTTTTATTGAATTTTATAGTGTATGAAAATAATCAACTTTCAACCCCCATAACTTTTTATGGGGGTGAGACCGCCACAAACTTTTTATGGTACAGTGGTGGGGGAGACCTCCTCTTTCGACCCCACCCACCCCCATCTAGACATTTACCAAATATTTGAATTTAAAAATGAAGAAAAAACGAAGGTTTCTGAATTATTTACAATTTCTCTAAAAAAGCGCAGGTTCGAAAATATTCAAAATTAATGATTTAAAAAAAAAATTAACTCAGACTTGGTTTTGGTTTTTGTAATGATGTCTTTAGAANAAAGGAGTTAGGAGGGGTAGTAAAATAGTTTTGAGATATATTTTAATAACGAAGTTTGTGGAAATGAATAAAATTTCCAATTCCGACACTCCTCATAATAAAATAGAAATTTTTTATGCAAAATTGTAAAATCGCTGTTAATTTATTTATTTGTTCCTTTATTTACGTACAGTGTACATTAGGGCGGAAGAACTATTAGGGGAAGATCAATTTGGGTTCAGATGAAATAGAGGAACGCGGGAGGCTATTCTAACTTTACGGGTATTAATAGAGAAAACGATAGAAAAAAGAAAGAGGGCGTACAAAGGATTTGTAGATTTAGAAAAAGCTTTTGACAATATTAAATGGGACAAGATGTTAATATATACTTAAAAATGTAGGGATGAATTACGAAGATAGAAGAGTGATACTTAGTTTGTATAAAGAGCAACAGGCGTGTATAGAGATGGGACTGCAACGTAGAGAAGTAAATATTAGGAAGGCAGTCAGACAGGGATGTACACTGTCACCGCTACTTTTTAATCTATACATCGAAAACTCAATCAACATCATTAAAGGCAGTACCTACAACTGTAGGGATAGATATACAGGGGTAAAAGATAAGTATGCTTAGATTTGCAGATGATATAGCAGTATTAGGATCTAGCAAGGAGGAGTAAGAGATATCTTTAAATAAAATGGAAGCGGTATTGACAAAACAGTATTGTATCAAAATAAATAAAAGTAAGTCAAAAATACTAGTATGCAAGGGAAGAAAAGTAGGGAAAAAGCGAATATAAAGATAGGAGACGAAAAATTAGAAGAAGTAACTGATTTTAGGTATCTAGAAGGTCAGATAAGTCAAAACGGAAGGAGTTTAGTCGCCTTCAATAAAAAGAACTCATTTCTTTGCTCGCGAACGGTTAATTTAGAAATTCGAAAAAGATTTTTAAATGTGTGTGTTTGGAACGCGGAGCTGTACGGGTGCGAAACATGGAGGGTTGGCGCTGCGGAAAAGAAAGGGTTAGAAACGTTCGAAATGTGGTGTTACAGGCGAATGATGAGGATACTGTGGATAGAGAATGTTAGAAATGAAGAGGTATTAGAAAGAATAGGAGAACAGACGACTCTAGGGAAGTCAATAGGAATAGGCGAGATAGGTTAGTAGGACACCTGAAGGTTTAGTCAGAGACAGAGACAGAAACAGGAGTTAGGAGGGATAGAGGTAGACCTATGTTAGATTACTGTTCGCATACAGTTAAGGATGTGGGTTGTTCTAATTTTAAGGTAATGCGAAGATTAGCTCAGGATAGGAATGAGTGGAGGTGCGTGTCCAACCAGTCTTAGGACTGACGACGTTGTGATGATGATTATGTACATTAGTAGACTAATTGTTTCGAAACTGTTGATAATGTGATTAGTGAGCAATCTTCGATTTCCTTTTTTTACTTTGGTATGTTATTAATGATTTTTAGATTTTTATTTAAATTTATTGTTGTGGTTTACCTAATTTTTTGTTTAGTTCCGATACATTTTCAGTTAACGTTTCCAGTTCATGGTTGAGTTCATTAACGTAATTAAAGAGAGCAAAATTTTCTTCTTCCTGCTTCACGTAACATTTTATGAGCTTGTGCACCTCTTTTTCACCGACAAACTCCTAAAAATGTATTATTACCGTGCACTTTAAGCACATCATCATAATAAGTCGTTATTAAAAGTACGACCTGTATTTTCTCTAAAATTTCGTTGTATAATTCAAATTGCTTCTCTCGGTCTTCGTTCTCCTGCTCTTTTTTGCGATCTTCTTTATTTTCCAAGTCCCTCATAACTCTCCTTTGCCCTTTTATTGTTAAAAACTCCTTTAATTTCGAATCTCTGTCCAGTCTTCTTTGGAGTTCTCTCATTTCCTATAAACCAGGGAAAGCGTTTTTCATGGAAAATTAAAACAAACTTTCAGTACGAAAAAAATTAAAAAAAAGTTAAATCAATTTAATGAATTATGCTTTACATTCCGCAAATATCTAACCTTCTATCAAAAACGCTAGGCGATTTCAAATGAATGCCAGAGGTTATTGAAAAACGATAAAGAAAGCTAAACAAAAGTCGAGTTACTGAAAAGTGCTAGTAAAGAAGTAGAGGTAGTGCAGAATTTCATGGGCCATGAACTTGGGTTACACTGTACGTTCATTTAATTCAATATTTCAACTTCTTAAAAGCATTGGTCGTCATTTGTTCAATAATGTCCCCTCCTGGTGCATTTCGCGGCCCATGGGATTATGCAATACCTCTAACTATAGATTATCGAATCAACGTGAGTGTATGTATGTATAGAGTGTGATAGATTTGCACAATAAATGGGCCATTTCAAAGTCAAATAATTAATTGGCTTTAAATGCCTTCTGTGATGTATAGTTGATAATTATTTCAATGTAAACAGCAGTGGGACGCTAATGTTGAAAAGTAGGTATAATCGATGTGATTTCACCTTTCGCATAGCAATGTATCAATGAGGTGCAATTGAATTAGCAAACTTTTAGTTCGATTCTTTTAATTTTGTTGATACGATGGCCTGGAAAAGGCTAACTCAGTTTCTTGGTCCAAGCCGCATCAGCCAAACTTTGTTTACTTTCTGTAGCGATCTGACCTTCAGTTTGACCGGCGCAAAGTAGAAGAGAACAGTACTAGGCCAGAAAAGGAAGGAGACAACTCTCGGCCAAACTCTTAACCGGTGAGGAGCGTATAATCCGTACAGTATTGCACGGAAAAATTGACCATTTTATCCACTGCAATTGCATTGCTCAAATGTGCTGTTATTGGTACCGTTTATTACTGAAAATATCAACGAGATGTTTATTTATATTTGAAGACGTATTAAAGGCTTTAACGCTTGTTTTCGACTCGCACTATAATTCACGATTGAACAAAACTTTTGGCAGGTACTGTATGAAAAAGTATGTTTAATGAAAAAGAGTCGAGAGTATAATGAGCTTTTTTCTGTCAGTGGAAGGGGCACATGGCTAGAGAAAGTAAATGAAGTATAACTCATTCGTTTTGTGCAATTGTCCAACTTTTTCAAGTCCTGTAAGACGAGACTTTCCGCAAATGAATTGATTTCGATTTTTAATTCTTCAATTTTCTTCTTTGGTGTGTCATTGTTTATACTTAATTAATTACCAATTACACAGCGAACAGAGCATTGTTTTGATCGATTTGGTATCATCTGATGTGAGATATGATTAGAAACTAATGAGTTATTTGAATTTAAATCGCCTATTTGATCTGTAGGGTGTTAACAGATGCATAATATACGAGGTATAGCTCTCTGCCCATACATAGGCGAGATAGATTGGTAAAACAGCTTCTCAGGCATTAAGGTCCAGTTAGAGACATATTAGATGCAGAAAAAGGAGTTAGGAGGGGTAGAGGTAGACCTAGATTAGAGTACTGTTCGTAAATAGTTAAGGATGTGGGATGTTCTAGTTTTAGGGAAATGCGAAGATTACCTCAGGATAGAAAGTAGTGGAGGTGCGTGTCCAACCAGTCTTAGGACTGACGACCTTATGATGATTGATGATATAGTACTTAGGTACCATAATTTTTCTTTTAACCAATTGGCCAATTGTATGCATACATATGAAACTTTGGAAGAGAATTTTAAATAATGTTACCTGGGTGTGGATGGCATTGTCAATTTGTAGCCTGTGACGTAATTCATGGAGCTTTGTACCCCACTCTTCCCTTTGGTCGTATGCCAGAATCGCTTGTTCCAACAAGTCTACCATGAACTTTTTACCACTTTTAAGATTGGTTGATAATTTCTCTAAAATTGAGTTGTACCGTGTTCTAAACAGAAATAAGACATAACGGTAACTATAAGCTCAAAAATCTGGGGTTTCTGTTTAAGAAGCTCATTTTTGCATTTATTAATACGGTTGTTTAAATATTCCAAAGTAAAAACGAAAAAACGGATCCAGTGATTTTTATTTAAAAAAACAATTAATCGACCTTGCTCGAAATATTCCTAACCTAAGAATATCGTTTCTTCTAGTTTTAAATTTTCATTCAAAATGGTTTTGCAAAGTACGAAATGTCGCATCGGTAGAATTTTATCGAAGATAACGGTCAAAGGGATGCACCTTCAATGCAATATTAAATAAAAAGTGTTATCGGTATGTGAAATTCGATAAGACTTTTACGCTCCGATGCCCACTTATAAGGGCATTGCTCGATATTTCGTATCTGTCGATGCCTAATGACCACTTCTGTTATTACAAAGGTTACCTATTAACATTTAACAGCTAACTACTTAGTTTTCAAGGGTGATTATTGTACAGTTTCATATCGGGCCTTAGCAATTCATTTTTGTAAAAGTTAATAAAAATTTGAAGCTATTCAAGATAATTAATAGTTAATATGGCGTAAATATTGGTTTTTGTTTTTTTATGCAAATAAATAAAAGTAAAACAAAAATACTGGTATGCAAGGGAAGAAAAAGTAGGGAAAGAGCGAATACAAAGATAGGAGACGAAAAATTAGAAGAAGTGGCTGATTTTAGGTATCTAGGAAGTCAGATAAGTGAGGACGGAAGGAGTAGTAGGGACATAAAGCAGAGGATAGCGCAGGGTCGTGTCGCCTTTAATAAAAAAAAGTCACTTCTATGCTCGCGAACCGTTAATTTAGAAATTCGAAAAAGGTTGTTAAAGGTGTATGTTTGGAACGCGGCATTGTACGGGTGCGAAACATGGACAGTGGGCGTGACGGAAAAGAAAAGGTTAGAAACGTTGCAAATGTGGTGTTACAGGAGAATGATGAGGATACCGTGGATAGAGAAGGTTAAAAATGAAGAGGTATTGGAAAGAATAGGAGAACAGAGGACTCTATGGAAGTCAATAACAAATAGGCGAGATAGGTTGGTAGGAAATCTTCTCAGGCATGAAGGTCTAGTCAGAGACATAGATTAGCTTACTGTTCGTAAATAGTCAAAGATGTGGGTTGTTTTAGATTTAAAGAAATGCGAAGATTGACTCAGGATATGAAAGAGTGAAAGTGTGTATCCAACCAGTCTTAGGACTGACGACCTTATAATGATGATAGTCTTCCAAGTTTTTTATTTATAGACTCGTGAATAACAATAAAAAAATCTGAACAAATATTAAAAAATACATGTATAGGTACCAATGTTTACGTAAGCATAGGGGTGGGACAAGTGCTTTGCTTACTTTTGCTGGCAAGGGGTCGAGGGGAGGTATAAAAATTACTAAAATTCTGCTTACGCAATACTTAAATGGTTCCAAACATTAAAATATATGTGCACTTATTTCGCTGTTGAGAGAATTTGTTTATTTATTATTTACACTTTCTCTGCTCGGATTACAAACAGTTATATCAAGTGATATTATTTAAAGAAATGAATGATTTCTATTACCGAATCAAATATGAAATTTAACTTTCTCGTGAGTTTAAGCTTTCCCCCGAAAAATCTATCTACCATGGGCAATGAACAAACACCTACTTACCGGTATATATGTACGTACATAAGTCCTTATTCTAGTTCAAGTGCATACAAAAACTAATCGCTAGGGACTGATATGACGCTTCAGGATGAACGATTCCATCCTTGAAACCGCAATAGTGAATAACTGAACGAGTAGCGACCTTTGTTAATGAAAAAAGTAGAAAAGAAAAAAGAATGGGCAAATTATCGTGCAATAACCTTAACTGTGTGGCATGTAGTTACATACTGTTGCTAACCACAAGACACTTTATCGGCATTCGTTCCTTTGATGACGTCTTCTAGTCCAGTAGATACTACAACCTAAGTGAATAGACGTAATTATCGTGAATGCGTGAGGGCATTACTCTAGTTTTGAGAGCTGATATGTACTAGATAAGCTTTGAAAATTTTAATCGTAAACTTGGCCCTGAATGATCAAAGATACCAATAGGTATTTCATCATCCTATTACATTATTAATTTGGGCGGTACCTTTGTCAGTGGTGCAAAACACTTGAAACCTTAACCTGACGTAGACCCTTATTGCGTTGCATTTAACCTTCAACAATTCGCTATTTCTTCCCCTAGTTTCTAATTTGAACAAAAGAATCAACATTGGTGTCGGTTCTATAACCAATGATGACATTATCACACCCTATTGCCTTGATTCTTTTGTTTAACCTTCAACAATTTTCACATCTCACTAGAATGAACGCAACCAACTGTACACTCGGATAGAGACATTTCGACCCACCCGCTTCTTTCCAACTAGTGCAGGCGTTTAAGATGGATCACCGCCGATTACTTCCGAACTAGTGGAAAGGTGTTGTTGCATACATCCCATCATATCCTTTTATTTATGATATTTTGGGATTATGTGATGTCCATCCCATTTTAGATATACCTGTGGGGCTCGTTGTCGTTATTAGATATCTACGACAACTCGTCCAATAGAAATATTAAAACAGAATGGATAATATTACATAATCCCCAACATCAGTAAGAAAGGAATTCGCCTCAATTCGTTCTATAGATTTCATCATTATAAGGTCGTCAGTCCTAAGACTGGTTGGACACGCACCTCCACTCTTTCCTATCCTGAGCTAATCTTCGCATTACCCTAAAATTAGAACAACCCACATCTTTAACTATTTGCGAACAGTAATTTAATCTAGGCCTACCTCTACTCCTCCTAACTACCGTTTCTGCCTATAATATGTTTCTGACTACAACTTCATGCCTGAGAAGGTGTCCTACTAACCTATCTCGACTATTCCTATTGACTTCCCTAGAGTCCTCTGTTCTCCTATTCTTTCCAATACGTCTTCATTTCTAACCTTCTCTATCCACGGTATCCTCATCATTCTCCTGTAACACCACATTTCGAACGTTTCTAACCTTTTCTTTTCCATCACGCCCACTGTCCACGTTTCGCACCCGTACAATGCCGCGTTCCAAACATACACCTTTAACAATCTTTTTCGAATTTCTAAATTAACCGTTCGCGAGTATAGAAGCCACTTCTTTTGATTGAAAATGACTCGACCCTACGCTATCGTCTGCTTTAAATCCTTACTACTCCTTCCGTCCTGACTTATCTGACTTCCTAGATACCTAAAATGAGCCACTTTTTCTAATTTTTCGTCTCCTATCTTTGTATTCGCTCTTTCCCTACTTTTTCTTCCCTTGCATACCAGTATTTTTGTTTTACTTTTATTTATTTACATAAAAAATCAAAAACCAATATCTACGCCAACTAGCCCCTGTCTTTCCCACACATTTATCAACTATTAATTATCTTCAATACCTTCAAATTTTTATTAACTTTTACAAAAATGAATTGCTAAGGCCTGATATGAAACTGTACAATAATCACCCTTGAAAACTAAGTAGTTACCTGTTAAATGTTAATAGGTAACCTTTGTAATAACAGAAGTGGTCATTAGGCATCGACAGATACAAAATAGCGAGCAATGCCCTTATAAGTAGGTATCGGAGAGTGAAAGTCTTATCGAATTTCATATGCCGATAACACTTTTTATTTAATATTGCATTGACAGTGCATCCCTATTGACCGTTATCTTCGATAAAATTCTACCGATGCGACATTTCGCGAGTATAGAAGCCACTTCTTTTTATTGAAGACGACTCGACCCTACGCTATCGTCTGCTTTAAATCCTTACTACTCTTTCCGTCCTGACTTATCTCACTTCCTAGATACCTAAAATCAGCCAATTCTTCTAATTTTTCGTCACCTATAAAGGCATTTAATTTCCGTACTTCGTTTCTTTCTATCTTAACCATAAAAAACCACTTGAAAACGAGTGAGCAATATCAATTACTTATTTTGGGGAATCCCTAAACCTGCTTTTCGCTTTCGAGTAAGGTTGGTATATTTGCTCCATCAGAATCTACTAAATTTTGCAGATAAATCAAAAAAGTAAGTAACCAAATATTGCTGACGTAATCACCATCCATGAGCAAAACAAAGACGCCGCACTCCTCTTGCTTACGTAATACTTGAACGGCACCTTTGCCAAATTTAAAAATTTCCTTCAAGAGCTTAATTTTTCGCAAATATGTCAACTCACGTGTCGCAGATGCTTACCTTTCCTTCAATAGGTGATCAATGTCCTCTCGGAGCTTCTGATTTTCTGCTAAAATTGAACAGTACCGTTTTATGGCTACGCTTAGTTTGTCTTCGAGAATCTTAATGATCTTTTGCCCTTCGTTAATTTGTTCTTGCCATTGCATGTCCGTTATTTCCTTTGATTTCATTTCAAACACTTTTTTATCAATCTACGGTTATATTACGTATATTTATTTGTACGGCGTTCTGAAAACTTTTGATAATTCTTTAGCAATAACCTATTTAGTAATGTATTACTGATAGACAAAAAATGTACATAACAAAATTTGACACGGAAAACAAAACCTTCATATACTTTTGTTTTAATTGGGAGAAAACTGCATTCAAAGTTATAAAATTGGAAAAAAACATGTATAATTGCTTTAAACTGTTCTCTATATTCAAATACATGATGAAATCGGCGTTTACTTACACTCCACTTAAAAAGTTCTATTATTTTTTATACCACTACATTAGAAAGAATAGGAGAACAGAGGACTCTATGGAAATCAATAAGAGATAGGCGAGACAGGTTGGTAGGACACCTTCTCAGCCATGAAGGTCTAGTCAGAGACATATTAGAGGCAGAAACAGTAGTGAGAGGAGTAGCGGTAGACCTAGATTACATTACTGTTCGCAATTGGTTAAGGATGTGGTTTGTTATAGTTTTAGGGAAATGCGAAGATTAGCTCAGGATAGGAAAGAGTGGAGATGCGTGTCTAACCAGTCTTAGGATTGACGACCTTATGATGATGATGATGATGGGGTTTCACAACCTAATATATGGCGAAATTATTCTCGACTCAATTCCGCACATTGGCNCTTATCGTTTGTATAAAATTACAAAAAAAAAGATAATACTTAATTTCTAAACAGTGAGAGGAAAAAAAATTGTTACATAACTAATTGCAATATTATAGAACAACACAAGAAATAAACATAATAATTTATTTTAAGTTACTTTTAATTAATGTTTTAAATTTTAAATCTCTTTCACGATTAAGCAATTTCACGATGATCTATCATCATCATAAGATCGTTAATCCTAAAACTGGTTGGACACCCACCTCTACCCTTCCTAGCCTGAGCTAATCTTCGCATTTCCCTAAAACTAAAACATCCCACATCCTCAATTATTTGCTAACAGTAATCTAATGTAGATCTACCTCTACTCCTCTTAACTCCTGTTTTTACCTTTAACCTCTGACTAGACCTTCATGCCCGAAAAGGTATCCTACCAACCTATCTCGCTTATTCCTTATTGACTTCCATAGAGTGCTCTATTCTCCTATTCTTTCTAATACCTCTCTAATGATGTTGATCGCGTCTTCGATGTATAGATTTAAAAATATCGGTGACAGTGTATAATCCTTAATATTTACTGCTCTACGTTGCCGATCCAGCTCTATAACTGCCTGTTGCTCTTTATACAAACTAAATATCACTCTTCAATCTCCGTAACTCATCCCTACATTTTTAAGTATATTTAACATCTTGTCCCATTTGACATTGTCAAAAGCTTTTTCTAAATTTACAAATTCTATGTTCTATCGTTCTCTTTATTGTTACCCGTATATGGCCTCCCGCGTTCCTCTATTTCTTGTAAACCCAAATTGATGTTCCCCTAATAGTTCTTCCGCCCTTTTTTCTATCCTCCTCTGTACAATTCTAGGTAAAATTTTTGACGCATGGTACGTTAAGCTAATTGTTTTAAATGTCTCGCACCTATCCGCGCCTCTCTTTTTAGGTATGGTTACTACCATGTTCTGTTCATAATCCTCCGGGACTTTCCCCATCTCGTAAATGTGACTAACTAGCTTAAACATACGATCCCTAACCTCTTGTCGTGCATCTTTTAAAATTTCCGCCTGTATATCATCTATAAATATACGACTAATATATAATATAGTTCCTACTTTTTAACTAATAAAAGTGAACATCAGTGGTATATCTGAAGTAGAATAATGAGTAATAGCAACTAGTTCTGGGCAAAAATATCGAAATATTGATAGTTATCTATCTATAATTTTATCGAAATAACTTTTCAGCCTAATTTGAGTGCGAACAACTTTATGCATATCATTTAACCTATTGCTTATTATCGTAGATATGTATATATATTTTTTTTACGTACTTTTTTAATTTGAGAATTAATCTCATTCAGTCGCGATTTTTCCGAGAAAATTTCCTGAGAAAGCTTCTGATGTTGTTTCAGCAAGTTGTTTAATTTCTGCGTCAGTTCCAAGTCCTTCCTTTTATGAATTTTAGAGTTCGCTACTTTTAAATTTATCAATAGGTTTTGTTGTTCTTTTTCCAGTGTTTTAATAACTTTTCGCTGTTTTGCCAGTTTAACGTGTGCTTCTTCGGAAAAGGCAGTTTTATCTCCTTCCATTATTCGATACTAAAATAATAACAAGTACATATGTGAATTTTGTAGTACATACGTACGAGTTCGACTTCATTTCAGTTGACCCACTGTAGGGATTTTCAGAAGTTGCTATTCAAGAAGTAGCAAAAGTACTTAACAGTACTAAACACAAAATAATTTTATTGATTAAAAATTCTTAATATCTTTTATTAATCCGCGACTAAATATCGTGTTTATAATGTTCATGTACATTATATTGTTTCAAAATGGTTTCTTGTCCGAGTATTTTCATAAATTTTTTGTGAAACTATTATACCAAGTGGTTCTTCTTCAATTTCTAAAATGCCAAAATTGGGGGCTAATTTGGTGTTAGGGTTAAAATTGAGAGGTCTTTAGGGGCTTATTTTGTATGAGGTAATTTGGTGCCAAGTTAAAAAATTATGAGGTTTTTGAGGCGAAAACTTGTTACCAAGGTCAAAAATTACGAACTCTTTAGGAGCTAATTTGGTGAGAAACTTAAGCGTTAGGACCTTTTAAGGCTTATCTTGCGTTATGGTCAAATACTAGGGATTTTTTAAGGGATAATTTGGTGGTACGGTCAAAAGTTATGAGCTCTTTAAAAGATAATTTGTTACTAAGGCAAAAAATTGTGAGCGTTTTAGGGAGTAACTTGGTGCCAAGGTTACAACTTACGAGCTTTTTAGGAGATAAGTTGTTGTCAATATCAAAAATTATGAGCTTTTTGGGGGCTAATTGGGTGCCAAGGTTAAACAATAGAAGCTTTTAGGGCTTATCTTGCCTTATGATCAAATACTAGAGATTTTGAGGCGGTAATCTGGTGCTACGGTTAAAATTAATAAGCTTTTTAAAAGGTAATTTGTAACTAAGGCCAAAAATGTGAGCTTTTTAGGAACTAATTTGGTTTCAAGGTTACAAATTACGAACTTTTTAGGAGATAATCTGCTGTCGATATCAAAAATCATTAGCTTTTTAGAGGCTAATTGGGTGCCAAGGTTAAACATTAGAAGCTTTTAGGGCTTATCTTGCCTTATGGTCAAATATTAGAGACTTTTGGGGGGTAATTTTAGGGTTTATCTTGCCTTATAGTCAAATGCTAGAGATTTTTTAGGGGTTATTTGGTGCTACGGCCAAAAGTTATGAGATTTTTAAAAGATAATTTATAACTAAGGCAAAAATTTGCAAGCTTTTTAGGGGCTCATTTGATAACAGTGTCGCAAATTACGAGCTTTTTAGGAGGTAATTTCGTGCTAATGTCAAAAATTGTGTGCTTTTTAGGGGTTATTTTATTGTCAGAATTAAACGTTAGAAGCTTTTAGGGCTTATTTTGCGTTATGGTCAAATATTGAGGATTTTTTAGAGTTAATTTGGTGTCAATGTCAAAATTTATGAGCTTTTAAAAAGATAATTTGTCATTAAGTCCAAAAATTGCGAGCTTTTTAGGGGCTAATTTAGTACAAATGTCACAAATTATGAACTTTTTAGGAGATAATTTGGTGCCAGTGTGAAAAATGATGCACTTTTCAGGGGCTAATATGGTCAAAAACTAAAGGCCCGTAAATTATTAGAGATAAGCTTGTACAACATCACAATGTAGATATTAATAAAAATCAAAAATCCAAGTTATCAACATATGTTCTATTTTATATCTATTGTCTGTATTGATGATTTTATGCTAGGGTTACGTGAAGCAAGCGCAAGAACATTGAATACTGAATATATTTGAGAGTTTTTTACTTTAGCATTAATTAATCCCTGATTTTGGAATTTTCGAAATTCATTTCGTCCACTTTCTAGTGCCAGCTTCATAGCGATCAAGCCAAAATAGTGTGCAGGCCAATAAATAAAGACAATTGAGGTCCTGAATATTTCTTTGAACAACTCAACATTGTGCAATTAGAACTTCATACAAAAACCAGTTGAGTAATAGTGTATTTTATGTTACCTGTCTATTCAACCTGGACAGTTCATTTTGGGCCATCAGAACCATTTCTTCTTTATCGTCTGCGTCAATCATGTTTTTTCAACTGTTTCCTTACTGTTTTTAATGTAACAAACGGTACTTGTATGTATGTTTGTACGTACGTAGTTTGGCAAAAGCTTTATTTCAAACAGTTTAAACCACTGTCAAATGTTTTTTTTATTTAGCTGCTTCTCACAATTGTTTCTGTTGTCAGAAGTTGCCGGGCAACAGCAACACTTGCGTATTTTGAACTGCAGAGGAATTCGTGGAAAATGTGAACTGTTAAATAAGTAGGTTATTACATTCCCCTTTTGTTTTCAGCGTTTGTTAACCTCTTCGCGAAACATTCATTTTTTGTTCATTTTTGTGAAAAACGAAATCAGTCATTTCCTTAATTAAAGATGGTAAGCAAAAACCTTGATATATTCGTTTAATGTTAACGCAAGGGCAGTTCCTTTAGGGGTTTTTGAAACTGATAATCAGATTTACTATCGTGTTAAATTATTAACGATTTATTTGACATCATTTTAAGGTTTACGCGTTATCATGGTAAGAAACTTGAAGAAGCGTTTTTATAAGTCATATATATATATATATATATGACAAGATTGTACATAATTTCAATTTTTACTACTTTATAAGCGACGGAAGCTTGTGAGACATGTTTTTACTTTATCAATTATGTTTACAGCGTCAGATTTAACAATCTGGAGCCCATAAGCATAAATAAGGTAGGGAGACTCGCTGTTAGTGTGGGGATATTTGTTGATTAACAAAGTTTATAAAAAATGGATACCTATTGTATTTATAAAAGTTTTATCGATTTCATTGTCAGATTTTTTCTGCGCTGTTTTAGCCCCATTTAGGCGCTCTTGAATTTTTCGGATTTGCTTCATCAGTTTTTTTTCTTATTTGATTTTATCTGCCTCCCAAGGTTTACCATAGATGAATAAATGCGGAACAGCTGGTAGGACATTGTTTAGGTAGTATAAAAGAAAAGAGAAATGAATGTGAGGATAATGAGAATAAGATAGGAAATGAGATGAGAGAAAATATAACTGGATAGGATAGAATCCGGCCCTGTATGTTTGTAGTTTATAAAAACCATTATCTAAGGGTGAATAGGTTGAGAGTGAGGACGTAATATTTAACGGATAATATAATAGTGGATTCTGTTTGATCATTAGCTAAGTTGTCTATATATGCGCAGTTTTTTTAAATAGATTTCCGCGTATAACGCAATTGAATTAATTTTGTTTTGCGTCCCCCAACTTGCGGGGTGAAAGTTAGAAAGTTTTTAACAATGAATGAGATATTTCTTTTAAAGAATCTTATCATCATTGCCAGTTAGTGTTAATCTAAGTGCTAATACAGAATTAGCGGATTTTTGTATTGTGGTGCAAAATCTCACTAAATGTCACCAAGAGAGATCAAGCATTTTTTGTTGCTAATGGTTTAAATTTCCTGGGGTAAGTTGTTTCCGAAAAAAATTAAGAATGTAATAATTTATTAGCATTCTAAGGTGAAAAAGATTGTTAAAGGTGTATGTTTGTGGAACGGCGCTGTACGGGTGCGAAACATGGACAATGGGCGCGGCGGAAAAGAAAAGATTAGAAGCGTACGATATGTGGTGTTACAGACGAATGATAAGGGTACCGGGGAGATAGAGAAGGTTAGAAATAGGCGAAATAGGTTAGTAGGACACCTTCTCAGACATGAAGGTGTAGTCAGAAACATATTAGAGGTAGAAACGGGAGTTAAGATGAGTAGAGGTAGACCTAAACAGTTATGGATGTGGGATGTTCTAGTTTTAAATAAAATGCGAAGATTAGCTCAGAAGAAGAAAAAGTGGAGGTGCGTGTCCAAAACGTCTTACGACTGATGGTGATTCTTAGGGGAATTTGTTGCGCAAATCGCTGATAATGTCAATTTTTTTGGCATCTCATCAAGGTCTTCCCACTTTTATTAATCAAAGTTTAGTTTGATATATTCAAGGATAATCAACAGTCTCCATGTTGTTATGAAATTAAACTGATTTCTTTTTAACATAAGCTTTATCCAAAAAAATGGACACGTCTTCCTTCGGACCAACTCCACTGGTCCAGAAAGCTCATAGTACTTTTCACTTTGAAGTTTTGTTTCTGAATAGAAATGTGGATGTTAGGTTCCAAAGTCGTTTATATTGCGTCCCGTCCAGCTGTTTCTTACGATTCTTTCTAGAAATTTTGAAAAGTGAGGGTATCTATTGGCATTTATTAAAGACCAAATGGTCATCTTCATTTAAGGATGTTTGGGTGGTACAATCAGAGACAAGAGTACATAAAATTAGAAATTCGTGATTAATTAGGTTTTGCAGCATATCAGGAGGTAAATAAATACTATCTATACTAAAAAAAAAGTATACTGTTTGAGAGAAAATTTGGAATTTGACCAAAAACTGAATAAAATAAGAAATAATGAATATGGAAAATTTTTAACTGACTTTTGGCAGTGAATATGCCTAAACGTGAGCGTAAAACTTTTTAATATGTTTAAATAATAATTAAAACTTTAAAATTGCATTTATTTCAGACAATTATAAATATTATCATTATATTATCAAGTAAAAACGAGATTTTCNCAATATTTATGATTCAAACAAGCACTTTAAACAAAAAGTTCGGACGTCCACATATTTAAAATTTAAATCTTCTAATAGATACCCAAATACTTGCTTATTCAAAATTTTAAATATCTGAATATCCAACTGAATTTAAGGTCGAGGATCTGTGGCTTACACACTTGGAGAATTGCCTTACTAATTGTTTATTTGTAGCCCCTACGTTCCACATTTCCTATCAAGTGTTTTTCTTTCGATAAATATTGAAACAATATTTTTAAAGTTCTATTTTTTTATATTGAAGATTTCAGAAATTCAAACATTGAAATATTCAAACTTTCAATTATTTGAATATCCAAATAAACGGAGTCGTCATGTGTAGGTATATCAAAATTTCAGCTATTCAAATATCCAAAAATATTTGATTGAATATCTAGATATTTAAATATTTGAATTATTGAATTTATTTACAGATATTCGTATATTGGATATCTAGATTATATTATGACCTAATCCTTGAATAACTGAAACTTCCGACTCCTGTGACAGACCCCTGTTAATATGTTGTCACGAAAAGTAGATCGTCCTGTACATAACTCACAATATTTACGAGGTATTTCGTAATTCTGCAGGTAATTCATTTTTACGAACCTGCAATCTGACACGAACTTGACTTAAGTTCAATTAGTACCTACCCTCATAGCCTTTTATCATATCTAGTCTTCCATTGTCAAATATTTGCTGGCGCCTTTATCAGTTTCAGCACCTGACGCTACACTTTGATTATTGTACCAATGAATCACCTTCATACAAGTTAGCACAATCGATAATTTTCTTCAAACCTAATCAATTTCCAAGTCGACTGGCGCAACTGCGCGTGTGCCGTCAGTTGCCGCGTACTCGTCAACTTTGAATCTTCTTACCTGTGTCGCAGGTAGTTTTGTACGGACGGAGTTCGTAGTCGGCCACTAATTACAGGTGGAGGCTTGCCTCTCTACCTCATACTTTTCCGTCGATCGCGCTATAAGTATACAGTGTGAACAATTTTTATTAAAATACAAATTTATTACTATCTGTTTGACGTGTGGTGCAACTTATCTGATCTTTAAGGATAATTTGTGAACTTTTGGATATTTTTAACACAGTGCATCAATATCTTCAGGTATATTCGTCGGTGAGTGTTTCTTTTGTCTTTGGAATTAGGAAGTAACAGTTGCGAGGCTTTAAATCGCCGAAAGTGTTTCTTTAAATGTCTAACTGTTGTTGAAAACTCATTGAATATTATTTGACGCGAGACAAAAAGGAAGGAAGTAAAACCGTGGAGTTTCGAGTTTGTTAGCCGTTTCGGCATTTAGCACCTTTTTGTGGTGCACTGACCTGCGGTTTTACTCTGAATTGAATTGAAACAGCGAAAGATGTAAAATGAAAATCAGGTACCAATTTAATGGGTGGGTAGGTAGGTAGATACTTGTTTATTGATGTATCTACTGGAGGTTTAAAAGAAGAAAAATAATTCATCAATATTTATCAATAGCCAATAGTTATCAGTAATTAATTAAATAATATTCAAAGAAACTACTCTTACGATTGTCCCTTAAAGCCCCACTGTATCCAGATCATATCCAGAGTTAGAGCTCATTGAGACCAAAACTTATTGTTGGAGAACTCTCGACATAATTTAGATAATATTTCGTTGAATACAACTAGGGATGTAGCCAGTCACATTAGTCTAGAGTGGGTCACATCATTGTTGATTTTAAAACACCTGGAGTTCCCTGATAATATTAGGCACCCAGACAAAAAAAAAGAAAAGTATCCCAAAGCGCATATCAATTTTCTCCCTTGGTCCCTAATACGTACGATATTTTTCACCGAAGTGAAATTTTCCCGAGTAAATAATTTAGCAAAAATTAAATCGGAAAAACTCCTGAACTGGATAGAGTAATACTTAGATACCTATGCATCATTAAATAGGAATGTGCGCAGTTTTGCATTCTGTAAAACGTTTTGGATTATGTGAAGCTGAATGCTTACAGTTTGATATTCAAAGTGGACCAGGTAATGAACCAGAGCTTTTAATGTATGCACCTTGGCCTATCTGGGTCCATTCGCAGCTACGTTCCTGCAAACAACTTAAGGAACCAGTAAGTCGCTTTACCTGGACTAAAATGAAAACTAAAAACTCAATCTGACTCCGTAGAAGTTGTTTACAAAGAAATATAAACATATAGGTACTCTGCGATCTACATAAGTCAGGTACCTTATCTTTTATCACTCAAAAAATAGAGAATAAAAATTTATATTTAATTTTAGCCGTGGTTAAAATCAGGAGTCTTATGATCCAACCAGGATTAGTTAAGTTACTTGCATTAGGGTTGTAATTAATGTCAGCTAAAGGTAATAATTAATTTTTACGTGATTTTTCCTACAGATACTTTGAAAATTGATGTAAAGCAAAACTTTAAATATGAAAAACACTGTTGAGTTCTTCTCTTCCTCGTCCAAGTTAAATTCAAAATACTGATTTGCAAAAAAAAACGTAGACAAAGACGCTCTAAATAACATTTTTTTTGTTGGTATCTATTGTACTATATATCTGTAAATGTTAGCTAATTCTTCATCAATTTTTACTAAAAACCTACGTTTATTCAACTATTTGATTTGCTTTCAAAAATTTAGAAAATCAACCGTTTTGTTAAAAAAAACTTTGTAGTGCAGGTGTTATAAATTTCCATTGCTTTTATCATTCTTAATACAGGTATGTACTGTGTAGATTAAACATTTATTATCTGTATTACTGAAACAAAAACACAAAAAAACTTGATATAAAATGAAAATAAAAAGTCGACAATAACAAAAGCAATCAATTAAAAAGACTATGGATTTTATTCTTATCTTTATTGTTATGAATGTGGACGCTTAATTTTATCATTCAAATTGTAGTTATATTGGTTCTGCTTTGACTTTAACTAAAATTTATACAACACGTAAAACTAAAACAATTTTAGAGTACGGTTTATGTCGTATTTTACGAGGGTGGATTGATAAGTTTCCGGCCTGACCAAGAAAAACAAGGTTTTTAAAAATTTTTTTTTTTTATTTCTCAACATAATCTCCTCCAAGGCTGATACATTTCTCATAGCGGTGTTCCAG